CCCCCGGGCTTCAGGGCACAAACCCTTCTGGCAGGAAAATGAAAAGAGGGAGGGTAGTGCTGTGTGAGGCCAGATTCTTACCAGGTAATAAACCAAAATAGTCATGTCTAATAGAAATCTAATAAATGATAATAAATAACATAAATATGCCTATGAGTTCCCATATATGTCAATACATTAACATATTTAGGTGTGTGTATATATATATATATGTGTGTGTGTGTGTGTGTATATATATATATATATATATATATATACACACACACACACACACATATATATATATATACACACACCTAAATATGTTAATGTATTGACATATATGGGAACTCATAGGCATATTTATGTTATTTATTATCATTTATTAGATTTCTATTAGACATGACTATTTTGGTTTATTACCTGGTAAGAATCTGGCCTCACACAGCACTACCCTCCCTCTTTTCATTTTCCTGCCAGAAGGGTTTGTGCCCTGAAGCCCGGGGGAGCTTTAGCTATTTTCTTTAAATTGGGATAGAGGTCAACCAGGGCTTATATGCACCATAAACACTGCCCCATCTTCTAGAATGTCCTGGGTGTGTCAGCTGCTTGTTCAGGGTCTATCATCTAGGGACAGCTCCTACCATAGAAATGGCCCCTCACGTGGGATGGGAAAGAGGTGGTGATGGGGACAGCTATGGATGAGTGTTGTCACCTGGGTTTAAACATAACTCAGAGTCTGGATAGAAGCAACAGGAAACCACACTGGCCCTATGCTTACATACTTAAAATAACTACATAATGAGCTGAGCGTCAAATTGGGCCTCCTGTCCCTGTCTGGGCGTTTTTACTAATCACCAAATCCCCACATCATCTGTGCAATGCAAACACAGCTGCCATCTCTCCGGTGGTTCTTGTCCCTGGCTGCATATTAGAATCATCTAAGGAGCTTTTTAAAAATCCTGATGCCTGGGCCCCACACCACACCAGCTGAATCCATACACCTGGGAGTGGAACCCAGGTTTAAAAGTTCACCAAATGATTCACATCCACAGAGGAGTTTGAGAGCTGCTGATTTACACTGACCTGATTCAGTATAACCCAGAGAAGTATCCCAGGAAATGGGAATTTGTTGAAAATTGAGGTGATTCTAGCCAAAAAAAAAAAAAAGGGCAATCAACAAAAAACAAAGTAAGACTCCTTGCACAGAAGTATTTTTTTAAACCACCTTAATATCAGCTCCCATAGATACTGCCAAAGAAATTGGGCTGGGAGAGTAGGATGATTGTCACCTTTGAGAACCCATTCCCAGAGTAGTTACCAGGACACACACACACATACACACACACAACAAAAACACACATACACGCACATACATACCTTGTGACTGCAAGCAACTTAAAACAAAAAATTTTAATTGAATTTCTGGGCCCGGGGAAGATCTGAACCTATAATTATTTCTTAGTAAACTTGCTGAACATAGTGTTTCCCTCTTCTGGGACGAGATGAGACGGGTAGCATAATGATCCCTCTTTAATTAAAAAATAAAATGTTTTAGGATAATCATGTTCTTCTAAGTTACATTACTTTAAAAAAAAAAAGGAAAGGATTGATGGTGAGAAAATGTCAATTTTCAAGTGCCTAGTGTTAGGGTTCTTCGCATGGACCCATTTTTCATCCCACTCTCTAGATTCAAAATTAAATCTGTGAGGTGGAACTTCAGTCCTGTCATTATTGCTAAAACAAAAGGAAACATTAAAAAAATTTCTGTACTCCCACTTCTCTTAAAAATAACACGCAGACTCAATGTGGAACGATTTCAACCAGGCAAAACGATGGGGAGGAACAGATGTTGAGGAACGTAAACAGACTCCTAGCCTAACAGCTCTCTGACCCAATTTTATGGGGTTCTCTAGTAAAGATGCACATGGTTCACGTTTCTCATTGGAGAGCTTTTTCCCAATCCCTTAGGAGATACTTGGGACCTGGGTAGACAGATGTGGGAAAATGTTCTTGGAATCTTAGGTAATGGAGGAGACTTGGGGATCCAGAAAGAGGCGTAAGCTCTGATTAATTGAAAATACTATATTTCTTTTCAGGCAGAGGAACAAAACAAAAGTGTCCATAGGACTAGAGAAAAGTTTTCCTGAGTTCTACTTCTCAATGGGGTCTCTGTAGAGGGTGGCTTTGAGGGACAGTCAACGATCAGCCACCACAATACATAAGAGAAATTAAATTCAGGGGTTTCTTTTTAAATTTATTTCCCTTTTCTTTGAATTTCCTTTGCTATTGTGTCTGGATTCAATATCTTTAATAGTAAGGTTTCAGAACCCTAATGGAGAGACCTTTCTTCAAGAGAAGAATAAATATATTAGAAAATGCAAATCTTTTTTCCTGCTAAGCTCTTCCTGCTCCACTCCCTTGGAAGAAAAAGTAAAGGCACAGAACAGCCCAATCCCTATTACTGTGGTTGACTTCACATTAAAAATTACCTCTGATGGAGTTTGCATGTTAGGATGTGTCTATGCTCCTGGCTACGAGTAGAGTGGTTACAGGTAGGCAGCTTCTTTAGCCTCTTAAAATATACTTCAGCTCCTTCCCTAGGCAGCGCCGAGTTGTGTTCTCACAGTTCTCAGACAATTTCCATCTCATAGTGATCAGCCACTTGAAAAATATTTCTATGTAAAGCTACATTTGCACCACACACAAACACTTTTCTGAAGTGGCCGGATGTTGGATAAGGGATACATTCATTGGTCTCAGCTTCATTTACACTATATACCTAGGATTTCCTTAAATTCCAGTTTATGAATTTAGAAAAGGCAAAGGGAAGTTGGTTTAACAATTTCTCCCAGCGAAAGTGTAGAAAATGATAAGTAAAGGTAGTGGGACTGGGAAACCTGTTTTCTGAGATTTTTATAGGGCACGGTAGGGCAAAGAAAGATGCACACACACACACACACACACACACACACTGTGCCTACACCAGAAACACTCACTAGCTGTGGCTGAACCAGAGCTGAACAGGTAAAGAGGCCTGGAAATGTACCAGTAGGGAGGGGCCTCATGGTCACCAGCACGGAGATCCTTGCCCTCCCAGGTCTACACTCGCCCAGGGAGAATTTTGGTAATTTTAATAAAACCAAATTAAATCCTAAAGTAAGACCAGTTGGTGATTCAGTAGGGATGGCCCCAGACCATTATGGGATAGCTATAAAATAAAAATTATGGATGGATAAGAATAGGAGTAAAGCAAATAAAATCATCTTAATGGAGGACAGAAAACATGGCAGAGAAAACAGAAAACTGACAAGTGTGAAAAGGGAGTTGTTTACAGGACTAGCCAGGGTAGAAGATGTCAGTGTTCCCCTTTTCTTTCACTGACATTTGAGGTGGAAGCCTGCAAATAACAGAAAACAGGAATGGCTTTGTGCATCCACAGCAAGTGAGGGATACCTAAGTAAAGCAGAAAGAGCCAGAGAAACAGTGCTAGAGAAGGCTCAGGGAGCAAATGGGGAGGTCCCTCCTGTCAAGAAACTTATCTTTCAATTAGAGAAGCAAATTTAGATGTAGGACACCAGTAGTCATTTTATGTGCATGTTTTGCTTAGCTCTCATGACATCCTGTGAGATGAACAGTATATTACTCAATTTAGATTAGGAAATTGAAGCTTAAAGGGTTAAGCAACTTGCCCAAGGTCAAAAAAAGAAAAAGCTAGAATGTTGAGGATCTAGGACTTGAACCTATCTATGTCTGGCTCACTTCAAAGCCCATGCATGTTCTAACACCATCAAGAAGACCAGATATAATGCTGCTGTTCCCAAAGAGATATAGTTCTTAGAGGATGCTCAGTGTGTTGGTTTGTCCAACCCACTCCTCTTGTGCTAAGTCCCTGCCCTGTTCTCGGAGCTCCTTCTCTCACCTAAGGACTACCATGGGCAGCTTTTCGGGCTAAGGTTGGTTTCTTCCCCTCCCCCTTTCACAAGAAGAAGACATCAAAGATTGCGCAGGGCCATAAAGAGAGGGAGGGTGTTAGAAGGAGGGAGCCTCCCCGAGCTTGTAAACTGGGCGGAGGAGGGGTGCTGGGACCCACCCATTTCTCCACTGACGCTACATCTCACTTTCCCCAAAAACTGAGATCTCAGCTCTTGCTTCAGCGCAGGGCACTTGGGCAGAGTGCTGGTGGCGGGGGCGGAGTCGGGTGGGGGTGGGGAGGCCACACAGGGCACCTGGAACACCACGTCATTCTGCCATTGA